CGAAACAGGTGGGTTCCCGATACCAGGATCCTCAATGTAAGGACCTTTTGAGAGCCTCCTACATCACCTGCCTTTGTCAAAACGTGCATGCGCCGGAAGCCTAGCGGGGTTCTGTGGCTTGAAGATCAGAACAGAAGACTTCCTGTGCTCCAGTGGGAATGAGAAAGAAATGAATCTTTGGAGTTGCGCTAAGGGTTGTTGTAAAAGCCGCAAAATCTCCACGTACAGGGTCTTCCCTTAGCTATGCAACTGCGAATCAGTGGAGTAGCGCATCCCAGCTTTCTCCAAACGCGACAGGAACAGGTCATCAGCAGCAGGCGTGTGAAAGAAGGTTTTGAAACCAATCGCCAGGTGCATATCCTGGCGGAAGCAGGGTCGATCTCCATGGTGCTCCCTGCATAGTACACATCTTACTACCTATGCTAGAGTCCCTTTGCAGGCCCTGTATAAGCCCTATGCAAACATTCGTTTGAACAACCTTCAGACCTCAAATGAATGTTTCTCAAAACATGGCACCACTTGGCGATCCTGGGGATACATAGGGATGATAAACGGATGGTGAAAGTACCTGCTCAGGATTCTGCAAAGGTTAAGTTGAAAAGCTCCCACATCATTCCGTGCCCCCAAATGGTGACAAAACAGCTTAAATTTTGAAGCATAGAAACTCCTATAGATGCTTGGAGCCAAGCATCCGAGGCTTCACGAAACCCTGGCGGCCCGCACAAAGCTAAGTCGATGCCTTCGAGCCCCTTCCAGCTTCGACAACTGGACAGGGAGGTTTTGGGGGTTGGGTGTAGGGAAGTTTAATGGTCTTGGGTCTATGGTTTAGTGTCTTGGGGGCAGTGGGTGTTGGGGCTTAGGGATCGTGATCTGGGATTCAGGGTGCAGGGTTTAGGCTAATCCAGGCGTAGGTTGTATACAGGTTGTAGAGGATTTCGGGCTTTGCCTCCTGCGTGCGGACTGGACAGTCCAAGCCCACTTCTTTGGGGTACAGAAGCTCCTAGACTGTTTGGGGCTTATGGGCCCACCACAAAAGCCTGCACTGTAAGCTTTAGGGCGGCGGGTTTTGAGGTTTAGGGGTGGAGGCTTAGAGGGTTAGGGTTTAAGCCTCAGAGGGCCTGGGGTGTGGTGCTTGAAGCAGGGGTACTGCACTCCTTAAACCACAGTTTATGACACCGGGAGTGCTACCATGATGATGACGCCCAGCAATGTCTCATCTGAGCTCTCATCGCGAGAAACCAAAGCCCTAAGCCCACACAAGGATGTGCCTCTCGCGGAACTTGCCTTGTATTGCCAGACCCGCAAAAAAAGGCTGGTGGTTTGGGTTCATGAGGTTCGGGTTTCGAGTCGGCATTCGCACAAAACCGGGCTCTCACGCCACCACTAAGTCACTATCTATGTTCTGATGCTTCAGGATCTTTCAAAGACAAAGCTCCAGAAGCAGCCAAAATGCGGTCCTCGAAGCGGCAAAAGCCCAAACTCCCCAAGGTGAACCCCACCTGTGGAGGTAAACAGTCGGCCCCGTCTTGCGCAGGGTACCTGACATGGATCCGAGTTTGGCTAGGGGAAGCCCCTCAATGCAAGAGGAATCCAAATCCAAGGTTTCCAGCGCACATGGGCCTGCTTAGCCTGTAGGGGTACCCTTGCGAAGCCCTCAGGAAGTACTCAGGGAGGTACCTTACGGGGAACTCGAGACATTTTGCAAAGCAGGATCCCTGTTGGGTCAGAGGCGGCTTCGGGTCGTCGGGGGTAAGCCAAATCTAAATGTCAAATTACGAAATTCCAAAGCTTTTAAATATTCCGGACTCCAAACGCCGCAGCAGTCCGCAATTTCACAAAATCCCGCCTCGCATCCATGTCATGCCATTCAGCCTGCGAGAAGCGGCACAGAGGTATAACATCCTGGGCTGAAAGGCTTCCCGCCTTTTTTTTCTTCAATTCAGAGTTTCAAGGTTCAGGGTGTCGAAGTGCAGAGAGTTTGGTCAGAAGCTGGAGGGCTGTGATACCAGGGGCTGAGGTTAGTGTAGGATCTTTTAGGTGTACTGTAATTAGTTGTAAAGATATTACAAGGGAAGCATACAGTTTTTCTGGAAGCTTCTACGCTACAGGCTTTCGGTTGTTTCTTGTGGCTGTGAAGTTTGTGGTCTACGATTAGGGTTCATTACGTAGAAACGCAGCTGTCATCCACAAGAGAGTAGGAAAAGCGTCTGACTGAACCTCCCGCCAACTTGAGCCCAGGGGTATTGACTTCTTGGGAGCAAGCTGTCGCGAGCAAACGCTACCGCCCCTTGGCAATCCTAAGATCCCCCCGCCCACCCTGCTCCTTGGATGAACCAGCTCCCCCGAGTCAAACACGGTTAGGATCGATCGTTTCGGGCTCAGCCGGAAAGTTGGCCATCGGAAAGGCCCTAGGATTCCCCCAGACGAGAAGGCAGGTGATCGAAGAGATCGGTGTCATGTACGGGTTGAACGACGCCGCATGTCGCCGTTACAACCCGGTTCAGGCAGCGCTGGAGGAAACGCTCGGCTGGGCGCCAAAGAGGACAGCTTCACCGTGCTGTGATGGGTGTATGGGACTCCTTTCCCAAATCATGGAATGATGGTGGGACTGGCAGTACAAAGGCCTCCAGTGATTGTGTTGATGTCTGGCTGACGCTGGCTGGCTGCCTAGTCACGCCACAAAGGACCAAACAGGGCTCCAGTTAGCCCTGCTCAGCGTGAGAAGCTGCCCTGGGCTAACTTCGCCCAAACCAACCGAGAATAACCTCAGAAACTACTCGCGCAGCCCCATCGCGACCTCAAGCCCTCGACTGGCCTAAACCGACTTGGCTAGTACTTTTAAAGGCCACCAAATTCATGTAAAATCCCTTATACAACAACAGGGTGGATAATTTCCCTAGGTGCCACCACCCAAAACCCAAAACCCAACACCCAAAACCCAAACCCTAGGTGCCACTTGTAAATTGTAAATGAGCTCAGGCGTCCCGTCTTGGCTTGGCCCCCAGTGGCAAACGGCACTCCTCCCGCGTCCGGATGCCATGGTGCAGCCTCTCCTCGAAGAAGTATAGGGGTTATATAGGGGTTATCGTGGGATAATGGAAAATAAAATGGAAACTACAGGGAATATAGGGGTTATACCTATATAACCCCAATAGACTATAGTACCCATTGCACCCAAATTCGGGGGTTCAAGCGTCACGCCTTCTACCTGAAACCCTGATGTCGACTCCAGTTACCTACAGCCTAGTGGGTATACCTGAAAAGACGACTGAACATGGAGCTGCAGGTCTAGTTTAGGAGCATTCTGTCCAGGCTATAGTCACCCTTAAGTAGATAGAATATGGCTTTGGGTATATTATAGTAAGATCCCATATTCTATCTACTTAAGGGGGCCTATAGGTTGCTGGACCATGCCACACTGCAGTCATCATCCCTTGAATGGTCAAGGTTTTTTCGAGGTCTTCAGGTGGGGACATAGCCATCATCAGCCGTGCGCATAGCTTACCCTCCCCAACCTAAACAGTAGCACTCGATCACACTGAGCCCTGGACCCTATGGCAACCCTTCTGAGAAATTCCATGTTCTCCTGCTCCAAGTACAGCTCGCGTGTGTAGGAGCTGCCGTACCAAACCGTTGGGGGCATCACAGCAACATCCCAGCGCAGCTGCTTCAAAGAAGAGCTCCAATGTCTCAAATGCTCATCCTCTGCAGGAGCTAGATATGGGGGGGTGGTTCAATGAGGTGAGGCTTGGGAACCGCGAGGGCTGTGGGTTTAGATGGAGAATATTATTATAGCACCAGAATTTCCAGGGTTCAGCTTCCATTGGGGGGGAGGTTCTGCTAAGCTTCCCGGAGGTCTCAAGCTTCTGGAGAGCAGGGTGAAGGCTTCCTACTCTCTCCTTCTTGCCACATCTGAAGCCTGGCACCACCCCCCCTACAATCAATCCTACAAAAGGCACATGATTTCAAGGAGGTCTCACGGCATAATAACCTTCATGATCCCTGGCCCGTCTACACTAAATTCTTCCTATGCGCACAAAGGGACTGCATGCTCTCTTCTGCGACCCATAGCTCCCGCAATGAAACCCCGCCACGTCCTCCCATATCCAGTGTCCCTGCAGTTCCAGCCATCGACCCTTGATGCTCAGGATGGGTTCCAGAAAGGCCTGCCATATGAGCCATAGTCTAAACTCCTAGTATCCCCCTTAATAACCCCTATAGTAATTCCCTAAAGTATCCCCTAATATAACCCCCCCATTAAGGAGATTAGACTATAGCTCATATGGGGAGGCTTAAATGCTTTGAGAGTGGGAAGGGCTGTTGCAGGGTGAAGGCTTGCGGGGCTTGAGGGTTGGCTCTTGTTGCTTACAAGGGCGGGTTGGCGGGAGACGGCCCCTGTGCCATTGCGCAACGTCTTCCTCGAACGAATTCAACCGGTTGCTAAGGGCAAAGTGTGATATCTGGTTCTCTCACGCTCCCTGCCCCACTGGGCTAAGTGGCTGAGCTTAAGGCTTACGAGCCTGCACTACTAGGCTTCGTAGAGGTTGCTTTAAGGAACACCCGAAAACTCCCGATTCTTTGGAGCAATCCTAAGGAGCTGCCACTCCAAGAAACCCAAGAAGTAGAATAAACTTGAAACTGAAGCCCTCAGCTTCAAACCCGAACCCTTAAACCCCAAGATCAAAATCCTAACCTCAGCCTTGAACCCTACACCCCAAATACCTAAACGGTACTTTCCCAGAATAGGGGGACCCCAGTATAGACCCCTAAATACTATAATCCTTATTATGGGGACCCCCAAAGAGGGTACCCCTAATTTTGGGAAACCCTAAACCCTACATAATCCCCTATATAATCCCAGTTTCCATTTCATTTTCCATGTTCTTTTCCATTTGATTCTCCATTATAGTAAGGTACTCCTAATTTCCCCAAACACCTAAATTCCCACAAGCTCAAAACCCTAAACCCTAAACCCATACCCTAAGCCAACCAAATTCCACCTGAAGCTCAGCGGTAAGATCGCTGAAGGCTTCAGGCGTCTCTCTGTCTGCTGTTCTGTTTGGGCTGCCCTTGCTGCCACCTCCTCCATGAGCTTAGGATTTGGGGGGTTTAGTGTTGAGGGTTTGGGGTTCAGGGTTGCGTTTCCCGAGATCCTTTGGGTGTTTTTGGGGTTCCTTTACGTTCATTTGGAGTATGAAGGGCCTCCTCGTTCTCACAACTCCCAACGGAACTGGTTCTGTATTTGGGTAGCTTTTCCCCGTCTTGCCTGGCTTCATCCAGGTTTCTGTTTGCTTTATCAGGCCTAGAGCTTGAGGAAGTACTCCAATGTGGGTGGTTGTCAGCATAAGTGAGACGATTGTTGGGCACGTTTCAGAGGGCCACTCTTCCATAGGGGCACTTGGAAATTCAACCTCGGCCTATATCGGGAGACTATAGGGTTTAGGGTTTAGGGTTATAGGCTATAGGGATCACGGTGGCTGAAAAACTTCTCATGCAACCAAGTACTTTAGAGGAATGCACTGACTCTAGCTTTTGATGTGCGAATCCCCTTGCACCTTGAGAGACAATCTTCCAAAAGCAGCTACAACCGGGAAACTCTCGAGTTCTAGTCTTGGGGCAAAAACATGTGTGGAAGAATCAACGCTGCCTGAGAACTGCCAGGGCTAAGGACGTCCCATACTTCCTGTATAAGTGCACAAGCATCCGTGGGTTACGTATGGAGAAGTTCTGGGGACCCTCATAGAACAGGTGACTACTTCTACGTTCAAAGTCGTATGTTCATAAGATCTATGTGGAGCAGGCAGCATTAAGTGGAAGGTGCTGGCCGATGCTATGCTCGTGGACCTGCAGTTCCCAACGAGGAAGATGCCCCCTCCTTGTAGGAAATCTTAGACACATTGGGCGAAACCGGAAAGCACAAGAAAGCTTATGTAAACCCCTGATTAGCAAACCCTCTCCGTTTAAGGCCTTATTATTAGTACCCCTAGTATAATCCCTATTAAGGGGAAGGGTTCATTAATCAGGGGTCCACACTAATCTAAACAATGTTCTTACATGTTCCCTCTGCAGTCCGCACCCTGAAGCTGAAACTGAGTCCAAGCACCGTTCTTCGCAGCAACTGCTGTGACCGTGTCGTTCTCCCAGGAAACTTTAGCCGCGGCGAGGCCATTCCTGAGTTGGGGCTCACGAAATTGAAAGAGCTATACATCTGAGCAGAAGCTAAGTCTTGCAAGTAAAATTCAAGTCCAGATTCTCGGCTTCAGCTGAGGAGTCTTCCCTCAGAGATGCAGCTTGCGGGAGATCCTGGGAAGCCGTCATGTCCTTGTGGCCGCCAGGGGCTGTGGTCGCGAGAAGCTCAACATCGGAGGCCTTGGCACTGCCGTTTCGATGGATGGGTCAGGCAAGGGCAAGGGCTCGTAAAATCATAGTTTCCACTTTCTTTTCCATTATCCCAATATAACCCCTATATATACATATGCCTTGAGCCCGAAGAGCAACCATCTAATTGTAGGCTCTAACCCTCAAGTAGTAGCACCACCAAAAGCAGCGGCCGCATTGCAGCTGGCCACCCCCTGAACAACAAATGGTAGTTTCCATTTTCTTTTCCATTTTCCCAATACAACCTTCATATAGTCCCTTATAGCTACACATTAAGATCTTTACATTTTTGGGTCTTCCAAGCCCCAACCGAGGGGCCCTCGTCGTATTGACTGCGCTGTAAACTCTCCTCCGAAAACTGGCGGAGATGCCACCTTGAAGAATGACCTGAAGCCGGTCCACAAAGCTGGGGTTGATAGTTCCCTTTAATAATTAAGTAGATAGAATATGGGGTGTATGGGGATCTTATTACAATATCCCCAAAGCCATATTCTATCTACTTAATGGGGACTATAAAGGGGCAAGAATCGTGATCAATTTGCCTTGAGAGAGCTCCATAATGTATTTTGGGGCGCTATGATGTGAGGTCCGCCATAACGTGTTCTGATTCGATGGGCACTAAAGCATAGGAAAGACTCACAGCTCTCCCGTTTAAATCAATCCACACGGACCTCAGAACCAGGGGAGGCTGAGGGCCCTTGTGGAAGGGGGGGGGGGGCAACACTAAAGCAGGTCCAACATTCGTAAGGCGATGACAAGTAATTACTCGTTCTTGTCACGTTCCGGCTCCTACAAGTAGTTGTTGTGTTGTGGGCGCCGGCACATATAACCAGAATGGGTAGTGGCTTCTATTCGAGTATAAGCTTCAGTTACGTGAGTCCCGCGGTAGAGCCCTGTTCTCAATGCTTAAGGTGCTGTAAGAATGCACATATAGGCGCTCTGAGGACAACAAGCTTTCCGGCGACTTTTTGAGCATTCGCACGTCCTTTAATTTTGCATGGTCCTCTGTGTTCTGTTTGGCACTGCCATGATTCGTATAGTGTGCCGATCTTATGGCGACCATTATGGGGAAAAATGACGGCAACAGCAAAAAGCAGCAACATCCAAAACATGAATCAGGTACAGCTGAGGATAGATGGGTTTGTCGTCAGAATGGCATCCTTAGCATCATAGAACGAGCATGACAGAAACGGAAAGGTGCCGGACATGTGCAAGGAGAAAAAGAAAGGACCTGTCAAAATCAATAATCTCAGCGTCGTATAGGAGCAGCGGATACTTCTTCGTACCGATCGTGATGGTGATAGGTCTGATGATTCTGTTGACTTGGGTTTCGAACCCTCAGCCCTATAAACCCTGAACCCTAAGCCCCTATGTAAACCCTTATAAAAGCCCCTATGTAAATCCTAAACCCTCTCCTCGGCCATGGTGAAACACGTTATAGACCTCCTAACGCTACGGCCCCTCTTCTCTACGAGGGCTGAGCGACTTCCCTTCTGGATAAAACAATCGAACATCCGTCATGGCAAGAATTGGGGGGTTTCCTAAAATTAGGGGTACCCCTTTGAGGATCCCTATAATAAGGACTATAGTATTCTAGGTGTCTATATTGGGTTTCCCCTATTTTGGGAAAGTACCAATTGGATGTATCCCTTCAGAAGGAGTAATCCAGATAGGCCACGAAGGCAAGCAGCAGACTAGCGCAGATGAGAACACATTCGCCGCAGCGCTGGCCGCCACCAGCCGCCATCAGGGCCCAGGAGGCAAACTCAAGCCTCTTGCTGCAAAGCTAAGGACGGGATGTTAATCTACGAAGCTACAATACATAGATATGTGCAAAGTAATTGCTGCGGAAATCACCTCACGTGCACTTTGCACATCACTTTGCCCTTCTAGCAAGCAAGGCAATTCTCCGCTATGATGTTGCGCGTGCTGGCTCCGCGAATTATGGGTCTCTGTTGGAGTTCCGATACTCACGCTCAACGAGGAGGACATACCCGTACTGAAGCTCAATGCGTGAATGCAGCTGGGCTTGCACTTCTAGAGTGGTTCATGGGGACAACGTTGTAGCAGCCTTTAAATAATCCCAAGCCCTGAAATACTTTCCATGTTCATGTCCTTTTCCTTCATATCCTACCCTACGCCTGCCTGAGGCCCTCTGCCCCAATAGTCGGACTACTGTATACTATCTACTTTTTACCATTACTAAACTCTGTACTATAGTCACCAGTGAGTACGTATGGACTAAGAAGCAGTTGCGCTGACTTTTTGTATCAGCAAAGGAGCCTTTCAGTCCATCTGCAGGATGTGCCTTCTAAATACTTACCGATGATTAGGGGATGAGGGAATGGAACAGAAAATCCCACTACTATTCTTGGGAATTTGATACAGCGTGTTGAGTGCTGTAGGGATCCATTTTGCTTTGCCCATACTAACCACCAGTAAGTCTCCCTATATAATCCCTATAATCTCTATAGTTTCATCCATTTTCTTTTCCATTATGCCTATATAACCCCAATATTGCTTTGGGACTACTAACCATACTAACCACCAGGAAGTCTCACGCTACCCGCGCCACGAGCGGCAGCTTGAGATCTATCCTTGGCTTCGGTGGTCGGATTCTCGCAGTGAGACGCTGGCCCCAGGCCATACCAGGAACCTCCACTGCTATGTAGCTCAGAAATGCCAAGGCGAAGGCAAACAGCGTGTAAAGAACAGCCCAGGCATAGCACATGCAAACTAAAGCCGGAGGAGAAAGAGACGCAACTGCTTTCGCTGCTCTGCTCGTAGTATCTGACAGTGGGGCCAAGAGCCAAGCAGCCGCAGCAAAGTTCACCACCTGCATCATGTAGGCAGAGTAGCTCAGGCGCGCAAGGGGCCGCCAGATTGGTGCTGTAAGCACTTTGTTTAGGCAAAGCTCTGAGCCATGGAGGTTCCTCCAGAGGAGGTATCCTGCTGCAGCTGCTATGAGGGGACGTCCCAACACAAAGTGCAACCTTGCGGCTTCTAGGCCGAAGGGCCATCTTGCCATGGGGCTCTCAAAGCCCAACAGAGGCCCACCACCCCCAAAGTAAGCACAAGCAGCAAGAATGCTCCAAGAGAGAAGAGACAAGATTCGTTGGAGAAGGCCTGCTGCCGGGCAGGGTATACCCTGCTGGCAAAGCACAGATACTGCCACTCCCATGACATATGGAGCGCATCGATATTGCGTCCCTGTGTACCAAACGCTTCCATCCATGGCAATGACTTGAGGCAATGCAGCCTCACGAGCTACACAACATGCAGCCCAGGCAATCCCAGAAAAGCCCAGAAGCCACCATGGAAACTCGAAAACCTTGCATATCTTCAGGAGGAGCAAGGCAAGCATCATGACTGGTGGGGTTACCAAATACAACTGCATCTCAAGGCTCACACTCCAAGATTGAGGAGCACATTGACCTTCATCTTGTAAGTTCACGGTCATGTTCTCTATGAAAAGCAGCTTCTTCCACCATGCAAGCCTACAGGCCTCCAGGCCTTGTGTCAGAAATGCCAGAAAGACGGCCATGTAGAACACGGGCGCGATGCGAAAGACCCTGCGAAGTAAGAAGGGGACCATGTCGAAGGATGCGGTATGCCGGATTTCATTGAATGCCGAACCGCCGATGAGGTACCCTGAGAGGAGGAGGAAGAAATCTACGCCCATATCTCCATTCAAGGGTATAGCTACTGGCCACCATGATGTCTCGAACAAGTCGAGAGTCCCGGGAATTGAAATCGCGGAAATCTTCCAGATGAAGAAGGCATGGGAAAAGGACACCCACACACAGCTTATCGCGCGTACGCCATCCAGAGATGGAACTTTACTTTGCTTCCAAAGTGAGTCCAGCACATCACCGGACAAGAGGAATGCCATCAACAGTTCAGGGAGGCCTCCCGCTTCTCAGAAGTAATTATGCCTCTTTGCTTTGGAGCTCCACATGCAAATCATTGGGATGTTTTGGGACGAGTATGCAAGGCCCTTCTAGATTTTGGGGTGTTGACAACCACAAATCCGCTCCCCCTAATATTAATGGGGTTATGAGGGCTTATATTGGGATAATGGATAAGAAAATGGAAGCTACCATGATGGGTTATATAGTAAGCTCAAACCTGCAAGTGATCATTGCTGCCGCTTGACATGAAAAAGCTGAGGTGCAGTCAGGCTCTGCATGCATCCCAGCTTTGGGCAGACGACGCCACCACACCACAAAGCCTTATAGGCTGAACTTATGTCATAATGTACTATAATCTACCACAGTAACCCTAAACCTAAACCCATGTTACATTCTTGTAGTATATTCTGACTCACAAGGTTTTTTGGGGGTTTAGAGTTTAGGGACAGACCCGGAAAACCTGAACACTAACCCAAGGCCAGTCCTAAAGCTATAGCCCCCCTTAAGTAGATAGAATATGGGGTATATGGGGATCTTATTGTAATATACCCAAAGCCATATTCTATCTACTTAAGGGGGAATATAAGCATTCATGAAGCCTCTGTTGCTGAGACCGGGCCTAGACACGAGGCAACAAACACATAGGAGCCATGGTCTAAACTCCTACTGCAGTATTCCCCTTAATAACCGCCATAATAGACCCCTTTAGAATCCCCTATATAACCACCCTTTGAGGACTTTAGACTATATATGGCTCAAATCTGGCAGGGTAGTGTTGCAGTCTAGGCTTTGGGGCTGTCTGGGAGTCTGAGGAGCTCGTGGGAGTTTCCAGAACTGGCTGCGCCCACCCAGCTCTGGGAAACCGAGAGATGATGTCCACATGTTGCAGGCACAAAGTACAGGTCACCCAAATGGGTGGTTGTCAAAATTATGATCCCTTTTTTGGGTACCCTAAATATTAGGTGCCGTATCATAATAGGGATCCAAAAAAGGGACCATAATTTTGACAGCCACCCAAATTGGTTTCAGCATGTTTTGTCTTTCAAGTAAGCTTGCTGTGCACATTCAAGCAACGTGCGCGTTGCATAAAGGTGTCAAACCGGCAGCCCCACCCACACAATTTTTGGCTGCGCCACAGTCGCCCATGCCATGCTGAGCAGCTAAATGACACTTTGCACACTGCCCGACGGAACAGCTTCACCGTTTGTTCAAAATTTCTGTGGGCTGATGGCATTTGAGCAGAGGTGAGTTATAGAATGGAAAAGAAAATGGA